TCTTACAAAACAAGCATATTATGAACAAATGAAATTCAATTTACCATGGTGTTCATCGGTTCAGAATTTAGTTATTGACTCAAGAATTCAAACTAGTAAAACAGATTTGAATATAAAGAACATTGATAAGACTTTAAAAGAAAACTATATTACATTTTTAAAACAGAATGTCAATCAAGAAAACACAAAACTAAGAACATATGCAAAATTCAAAAACACTTATAATTTTGAGTCATACTTAAATTATATAAATAGATACGTTAAAGTTTTCTGTACTCCATGGCTTTAAGTAGATAGGTTCCCATACATTTAATTGCCTTGGAGTCCTTGTTGCTCATCAAAAATATAAAATTACTCAATTTATCTCCTGCATTAGTTAATGTAATTTCTGTGAGCAATTCATGTCTAATATGTTTGTACCGATCACATTCTAAAAGGAAGTGAACTTCATCTTCTATTTTATTTTGGGAACACAAATTACAAATTCTTTTTTCAATGGGAGTTTTTGGCTGTGTGTGCCAAATATTGTAATTTCTAAGGATGCAATAAAACTTGATTATTATTATTATTATTAAGTGAATTGTATGCAAATCTACACGAATCAAACCTCACGCTGTCTTAATTCACACTTGTTAAATACATGTGATATATAACCTAAACAATAAAAATAATTGCATCATGCCTTTTAATTAATCTGTTATTTTAATTTTTTGATTATCCTTTTTACTTTTTTTTTTTATTTTACTTGACTATGTTCATCTTCTATAGAAAGAATAATGTCAATAAAGTTACCTTATAAAACAAACATTTAAAGGGCGAGAGTCGTCACGCCGCGTTCTGTTCGATATGGGACTCATAGCGACGTATACAACGCATGTAAAATACATTGTTCATTTACATGCGCTGCGCAACGACCACCGCCTTTTAACACTCTTTTTCAGTTTGAAAACTTGGTACACTGTTTTCAAACTATGACATTGCTTTGCATGCTATGTGACAAGTCACGGTGGCAACAAAGAATTACCTTGTATTTTGAAAAAAAATATAGAAACCCCAAAAAATGTAGATAAATGAAACAAAAATGTGCATATAATTGATTACATACCTGCATTAACATAAAATATAGGAGTTGTAATAAATGGTGTTACTACGAGCGGCTTCGATTTCTTTCCGGGCGTACATGTAACCCCACTCAGCGTGTTGTGTGGAATCTTCCAATTACATCTCAACGACGCTGTCAATGACGGCTGACATAACAAGCATGTACTTCTGCAAATACGGTACATAGTGAAAACTTTGATATCCAGAGCTCTTTAGTTTTATTTAAAGTAAGTTGCATATCCTAATATGTCTAATATCACGTTAAAATTCAAAATAAAAACATGTTTCAAGAACATTGGGGTCAGGGTTCACCATTTTCGATAACGCCCTCGACGGCGATCTCGTAGCCTCTAATTCTACAAACGAGACTGTGTATGGGTGGTCTGGCGGAATTTATGAAGGACCAAATGAAAGATAATGAAGGTTATTTTTCAAATCAAATTCGTGTGATATATATGATTCAGTATGATCTGAAAAAATAATGTGGAAAAGTTGCAGTATGGTTGGAAAAAGTGAAAGTTTTGACTTGATTCGGAATGCAGACCACCCACCTCGACTAGAAAGGAAGGGCTATTCATATGGGAAGGTGAATTTTTCACACAATGGAGATTTTCTCGTCTGGAAAACGTATCGATGAGTCTTGCAATATTTTACCTTATAACACCATTTTTAGCGATATACAGATTTGAATATCATTTTGATGACAAGGGTAAGTGACAAACAGTTTTTGTAGAGAGTGAAAGATTTGAAAATGTGTATGTTTTTACGAGGTTCGGCGTTTTTGCTTTGTTATCGGGCCACGATTAAATCAAGCTGCACTGTGTCAAACCATGGACGTCTCTAGTACGTCCATTGTCAAACATTTGACTGACTGTTGCTACGAACAAGGTATTACCATGTGAACAGTTGGGGTGCGCTTTTTTGTCACTTTCCGCTCAATACCGTTAAAAGGTTTGAATAAGCTAGAAGTACGCGAAACCCATGAAAATAATAAATGTGTCAGACATGCAGTTAAATAATTTATTTAAATACATGTACATGTACATCTATAAATATCTTTAGATATACTAACCAACAATGACCTGCAACTTTGTAGAAATAGGGTATTGAATATTTTATTTAACACAAAATAATTCACCAGTATAATGTTGTACAATATGCAACGTTTTTAGTGAATTTGACTTGAAGTGCCAAATCTCATTATGAATTTATAATTTTGTTACAATAGTCGTTCTGCCCAACTGATAGCCTCCCTAATCTACTCTGCTTATCAGCTGCCCTCTTCTGCTCATCATGTAGATTGCCTTCCCAAATTGCAATCAAGTTTTTTTAGTGGTCATGTGATTTGAAATATTATGCAAAAGATCATCTTTGATCACTGAAAAATTAATCACATTTGTGGCTATTTTTGAAGTTTTCTTTTTCTGTCTTTTTTTTCTGAATCCATATCAATTATCCAAATAATAATGTAATTTACAGAATGAAGTTGGAGAAATATAAAAAACGCATGATAATATGTCTCTATCAGCTTGGTTGTATTGCTTGCGATTTAACTTAGCGATTTGCTGATTACAAAAGATTACAATAAGCAATATTTGCATGGGAGACGCTGCGTTTGGTTTGCCGAATGGCCACCTCATTGCCTCATTGTCTCATTGGAAAGGAAAAAAGCCGACCGAAGTCTAAGGTGCCTGCACAATTGATTCTTTTGTTTTGCCAGATGACTAGTTTCAAGTTGGCCTTGATCAAAAGAAGTTGATAATATGCCACCGTTGTGTTGGACAAACGTCGCATTGCACAAACACACTCATACGCTAGTAGCAAAAAAGAACGAGTCAGAGTTGAACCATGCTAATATGTAAAAAATTAAAACTTCATGGAGTTCACGTATCACTACAATTGAGAATACCACATTTCACGCAGTAGATCATTAACATCCCACAACAACAATGTTGTTTGCACATACATTACAAGTCAAATGTAGATTATTCTCTAAAACAACACAGACATGTTTATAAAGGATTAAAAATGCCCTCTGTAATAGAACATTTTCGATTTTATTTTGCCCCCCCCCCCCATTTGAGCATTTTAAAACTGAATATCCTTACAAAAAGCACTGTAAAGGTGAATTGGTGATAATATCAATGACTTTTGCAAAAATCATTTTTGTCAGTGAATTGTCAACCATGATGTGCGTGGGTGGGTAAGCCAATTCAATACTTTAACATCTTGTTAAAATGAATCTCGCGCAAAGGAATGTGTCTGTGCCTTTTAATAAAAAAAATTACATGCATCCTACCATGTTCTAAACTTTCCGCCAATTTGAAGTTCAATAATTTTCTCAATTTCTGACAACAGTGGATATGATTATGTCATACTTTACCCATTATCCCTTGCTGAAGAATCAAGATGGTGGACCACACAAAATAATGAAAAGTTGAATATCTAGAAAATAAAAAGTTATATAAAGAAACTGTAAATTACATGTTCTTACATTTGCCAAGATCTTTCATCTTTGAGTATTATATCTTATCCTTTAACAAAAGCATGTTAATTCTTATGAATATACCTCTGAAAGGTACTGTAAAATGGTTAATTATTCACTGGGTTTTAATTAGTCCCTGTTCGGACAAAGTCCGAAAACGGGACTTATGTTTTGACCTCTGTGTGTGCGTGCGTCTGTGCGTGCGTCCGGACCTGTATCTTAGAAATGCCTGGACCAATCACAATCAAACTTCACACATACATCATACATGATATCATACATATGCACGTCAATTTGTTACTTGATCTGATTCAAGATGGCCGAATGACGGCCATTTTTGTACTAAAAATCATCAAAATCAAGCATTTCCCGGCTGTTTACAGATGGATTTTGTTCAAACCTTGTATATACGTTCGACATTATAGGACCTTGATGAACATCATTTTGTTTTTACGCTCTGATTCAAGATGGCCAAATGGCGGCCATTTTTGTGCTAAAAAATCATAAAAATCAAGCATTCCTCGGCTGTTTACAGATGGATTTTGTTCAAACTTGATATATACATTAGACATTATGGGACCATGATGCAAATAATTTTGTTTTTCAGATAACATTCAAAATGGCCGACTGGCGGTCATTTTGTTTTAATGAATGGGCTTCTAGACCCATATTTCCAACTTGTTTTGACTGATTATGTTCAAATTTTAAATATTCATTATACATCATGTCATAGATAGACAGATATATTGGTTTGACGATCCTATTCAAAATGGCCAAATGGTTGTCATTTTTGTGCTAAAAGATCATCAAATATCAAGCATTTCTGGCATTTATGGATGGATTTCGTTCAAACTTGGTACATACATTAGACATTATGGGTTCTTGATGCACGTCATTTTATTTTTCAGATCAGACTCAAAATGGCTGTCCGGTGGCCATTTTGTTTTAATGAATGGGTTTCCAGACCCATATGTCTGACTTGTTTTGACTGATTATGTTCAAATTTTTAATATTCATTATACATCATGTCACAGATACACGGATATATTGGTTTGACGATCCTTTTCAAACTGGCCTAATGGTGGCTATTTTTGTGCTAAAAAACTTGTTTTATTTTTTAGATCGGATTCTGAATGGCTGACTAGTGGCCATTTTGTTTTAATGAATGGGCTTCTAGAGCCATATCTCTGACATGCTTTGACTGACTATGTTCAAATTTCATATATTCATTATACATGTATTCATAATGGCTGATTTTGTTTTAATTAATGCTGTTCCAGAGCAATATCTCTCAATACTCATTTGACGATCAGATACAAATGTCAATCATTTAAATGTTAAACAATCATCATATTCCTGACATGTTTATATTCCAGCTATATTACTATAAACAAAACTTTATATCTTAAATTTGATAACTAACGGAGACTGTGCCATGCATGGCTTGTTTTGCTTATTTCGCACTAAATTGAAACCCAGTGAATATGTCAAATTTAGCATAGAACACATTATCTAAATGATAAAACCGTGAATTTAATACCCACTGAATATGCTTGAAATTATAGAACAGATTATATATAATACCCCAGGAAAGTGTTCTATGTTCTTCGTGTAATTAGGTGTTAGTATTTAAGACACAAAAATGACCAATTCAACTGAATTTTGTTATCGGTTGGCTTAATATTACCCCAATGGATCGTATATTTGTGAAAGATTGGTATTTTTGTCCTGATTTGTAGGAATCTGAAAAACGCGCATCACAACATGTCTCTTATTTAGTTTTATGCCGCATTCAAAATGGCGGCCCCCATATAGTAAATATCGCATTTATTTTATTATCACGTGTGCGCCAGCTGACTGTGTGTTAGAAGGCCAGACAGTGTGAAGTATATGTTAAGTTATTTCTTTGCTTTTATTCAGATTAATACATAACTGTACTAAGTTGATAATATACAGACTTGTAGTTCTATTGTCACACTCTAAAGTTTTAACAATAGACTCTGTGAAAGCTATTATGCTTGCATTACAGAGGGAGGAACAAATAAAATCACTTTGTACATCTAGCCACAGAATGCATTTAGGTTTTGTCACCACTTGAATACCAATGCTGATTCTGTAAATACCATACAACCATCACATTACTTTGGCTTTACCTTTTTTGACCCTCTTTCATAATTAGCATATAAATAGTATTGTTGTACCTGTGCCATAAATACAAAGCCTTAGGGTATAGTATAAAATCACTTGTACATTCTGTCAACAGTTACTTAAATTATTGGTATTCAATGTTGTGTCCCACATAGTCTCAATTGTACAATAAAACACTGCTGTTTTTTTCAATATCATAAAATTGACCAAACAGACATTTTAACATCTTATTTGTCAGTTTTGTTTTAATAGATTATTTTTGTACATTACTTAGCCAAAAAAGATCCTTGTGTTACTTTCATGAATAATGCATGTTTTGACCTTTCAGAAATAATTTATTCATTTGCTTCATCATATCTACTGAATTATGACATGAACTAAATACATGCAGTTAATTACTGACTTTATCTAATGTAATTCACATTTTACACTCTGTACTTTTAATATTGTTCTCAAAACTTGGTGTCCTTGGACTTGGTGTCCTGTTTTAACTGAACTATTATTTTATGATTTCTTGTGCTGTTTTTGTAATTATACACCTGTAATTTGCCCTCTGTAGTTGAAATGAGACTGAACATATCCTAATGATATATATATACTATGCACAATTTAGATATGTTGCAGTTTTGAAAGTACATGTACAATGTAACTTGAGCCCCACCTTAAAGCCAGCTAAAGACTGCACTGTAATGGTTTGCAGATACATGTCAATTCAGTTTTAATTTTTACTTGGCATTATTGCCCTTTTTGTGTCCTCAGTTGCAATCCTCAAATACATACATGACTATTATAATGCCTTTTTTCCTATTTGTCCATACAGAATTCATGATACAATATAAAATAACATTCCACATGTATTATTATTATATTATGACATCATTCCAATTATTTATGATACATTGTTTTATAGGTGAAGTATTGTAACTAAGTAAGTAGAAATGGTGTCCAGTCATCTCCATGCAACTACCACAGTGAGACTGATCTAAAGACATGTACCAAGTATTTGCTGCGCTGTATATGAAGTTGAGAAATGAACTCCAGCACAGTATTCTTAGGCTCAAATGGCACAGGTTATCAATTCATAACAACGACTGTCAACTCTATCACTACAATCCATCACCAATCAGCTGAAAATGTGATTGATGTAGTTGTTAAGGCTGTCTTGCTTGGACTTATCTTCATCACAGCTGTATTCCTCAATACCATGGTATCACTGACTCTACATAAGAAAACACACCTTATGACAACAGGAAATCGCTATGTTTTTAGTTTAACTGTACCTAACTGTATATTTAGTATTCTAGTTCTACCATTCATATTTGTCAGTGTTATAAATGGAGAATGGATCTTTGGTGTTGTATGGTGTAATTTTACTGGTTTTATCACCATTGCTGTTTTGTCTGGCAGTATGATTATGTTAGCTGTCATTGCACTAGACAGGTATGTATGATCCTTTCAACCAACAAATATCTACTGAGGTAAAACAAAATGCATTGTTTATGAAACTCACTGTGAATAAACTTGTGCACAGCAATATACGCCAACATGATTGTATCCCACCTGACTGCCTTGGTGCCCCACCTGACTGCCTTGGTGCCCCACCTGACTGCCTTGGTGTCCCACCTGACTGCCTTGGTGTCCCACCTGACTGCCTTGGTGCCCCACCTGACTGCCTTGGTGTCCCACCTGACTGCCTTGGTTTCCTTCCCACCTGACTGCCTTGGTTTCCCACCTGACTGCCTTGGTGTCCCACCTGACTGCCTTGGTGTCCCACCTGACTGCCTTGGTGTCCCACCTGACTGCCTTGGTGTCCCACCTGACTGCCTTGGTGCCCCACCTGACTGCCTTGGTGCCCCACCTGACTGCCTTGGTGCCCCACCTGACTGCCTTGGTGCCCCACCTGACTGCCTTGGTGCCCCACCTGACTGCCTTGGTGTCCCACCTGACTGCCTTGGTGTCCCACCTGACTGCCTTGGTGTCCCACCTGACTGCCTTGGTGCCCCACCTGACTGCCTTGGTGTCCCACCTGACTGCCTTGGTGCCCCACCTGACTGCCTTGGTTTCCCACCTGACTGCCTTGGTTTCCCACCTGACTGCCTTGGTTTCCCACCTGACTGCCTTGGTTTCCCACCTGACTGCCTTGGTTTCCCACCTGACTGCCTTGATGCCCCACCTGACTGCCTTGATGCCCCACCTGACTGCCTTGATGCCCCACCTGACTGCCTTGATGCCCCACCTGACTGCCTTGATGCCCCACCTGACTGCCTTGATGCCCCACCTGACTGTCTTTGCGTTCCACCTGACTGCCTTGGTGCCCCACCTGAGTGCCTTTGTGCCCCATTTAACTGCCTTTGTGCCCCACCTGACTGCCTTGGTTTCCCACCTGACTGCCTTGGTTTCCCACCTGACTGCCTTGGTTTCCCACCTGACTGCCTTGATGCCCCACCTGACTGCCTTTGTGTTCCATTTGACTGCCTTTGTGTTCCACCTGACTGCCTTTGTGTTCCACCTGACTGCCTTGGTGCCCCACCTGAGTGCCTTTGTGCCCCATTTAACTGCCTTTGTGCCCCACCTGACTGCCTTGGTACCCCACCTGACTGCCTTGGTACCCCACCTGACTGCCTTGGTTTCCCACCTGATTGTCTTGGTTTCCCACTGACTGCCTTGGTGCTCCACCTGACTGCCTTGGTACCCCACCTGACTGCCTTGGTTTCCCACCTGACTGTCTTGGTTTCCCACCTGACTGCCTTTGTGTCCCACCTGACTGCCTTTGTGTCCCACATGACTGCCTTTGTGTCCCACATGACTGCCTTTGTGTCCCACCTGACTGCCTTGGTGCCCCCGCCTGACTGCTTTGGTGCCCCACCTGACTGCCTTGGTGCCCCACCTGACTGCCTTGGTGCCCCACCTGACTGCATGATGTCCCATCGAATGCACATCGGGCTGACTTGAATGCATTTGTGTCCAACAAAAGACAGGTAGTCAGATATTTCCTTCAGCCTACAGTATTTTAAGGTAGAGATGCAGTTTACCTGACAGGTATTTTAATTAATTAATTAATTAGGGAACCAAGATGACCTGGCTTGTCCACAAAACTATATATTTTCGGAAAACTTATTGTATGAATTTTAAAATTTTGTATTTTTTTTCTATGGACACTGTAGTTTGAAATATGCACAAAAATGTGCTTTTTTTGGTCAAAAGTGATTTAAAAAAAATTAGCTTCTAAACCATGCTTCTGTTTCCTGTCAAAATTGGTTTATGGGTACATCTGTTTACTATGAAGAAAGTGCTGTCTTGAAAATTGTCTACCAGTTTTCAATTTTGCAAGGCAGCAGCTCAAATTTCACTACTTCAAGTTTATGCATAAATTAACACCCAGGCTAGTTGTCTGTACGAATGTTGTAACAGTGTTCAACCAACAACAATACCACAACACATTGTCCATCATTTTTGAAAATTTCAAAACAAAAGGTCAAAGCGTCTAGGAGTTATTTTTTTTAGCTCCGCTGTCGACTTTGTCGAGCGGAGCTTATCATATGAGTGATTGTCCGTCGTCGTCCGTCGTCGTCGTCCGTCGTCGTCGTCCGTCGTCCGTGTCAATGTTTTACTTTTTCGACTTCTTCTTGAAAACTACAAGCCTAAATGCTTTGATACTTGGTGTATATGTACCTTGGGTAGACCTCTCTTAGGTTTGTTCATTTCATG